GGAGGCGGAGGCGGAGGCGGAAGAGGAGGAGGAGGAGGTGGAGGAGGAGGAGGAGGCGGAGGAGGAGGAGGAGGAGGAGGAGGAGGCGGATGAGGAGGAGGAGTCGGAGGAGGAGGCTGACTTGACCCGTTCGTCCGCCCCGGGGGAGCGCAGCCATGGCGGCGGTCGCCCGGCCCGGCCGCGTCGACAGCTGCACTCCGGACGCGGCGGCCTCGGCCGCTCGGGGGGCACAGGACGGGGCCAGGAACGGGGCCAGGAGGGGAGCGCACCTAAGTCGGGCACGTCCCTCTGCAGAAGGCATATTGAAAACTAGTCCCAAAATAGTGTGGAGGCGATTTGTCGTTTTTTTTGTTGTTGTCTGTTTTTGTCTGTTTTTGGTTATATATATATATATATATATATATATGTATGCATTGGCTATTTCTTATGTTTCGTGCAAAATCCGCCTGTAGGAGGACATGCCCGACCTAAGAGCAAACCCCACAGACAGGGCCGCCTACGATCCGACTCGATTCGCTGGCTGGGGCCGCGCTTCCAATTCGATGCGAGCCGGCTCTATTGACCGGCATCGGCCAGTGCCAGCTGGGATGCGATTCGGGACGATTCGCTGGCGATTCGATCTGCTCTCGATCCGATCCGATTTCGCGATCCGATCCAGTGCAGACCCGACAGACACAAAGGATCGCCGATTCCCAGGAAGATCTGGGAAGCCATGGGAAGATGTGGGAAGTGTGTGGGGGGGGGGGGAGACGACGCTCCAGAAGCTACGGCACACCAGGGGGGGTCCCGGGCTCTGTGCCTCTTTCTCTGTGTGTGTGCCTGGGCCCCCTTTGAAGCTCGGAGCTCCGCGCGCAGACCCCCCTCCGCACCTCCCTGCTCGCCTGCCCTCCCCTCGGCGGAGGGACCGGCGCGAGGAGGAGGGGGAGGAGGAGGAGGAGGAGGAGGAGGAGGAGGAGGAGGAGGAGGAGGAGGAGGACCGGGGCCGCTTCGGGGAGGGCACCCCCTGGCGTCCTGCGCGCTCGTGGGAGGCCCTCGTGCCTCCCGGCGGAGGGTGCCCTCGGGTGCTCTGCGGCCTGGGCGGCGGAGGGCCTCGCGTTCTTGACTGGTGCTCTTCAGGAGGGGAAAAAGCACACAGGCACAATGAAGCGTCGATTCCCAGAACATATGGGGAACTATGGGGAAGTGGGGGGGAAGACAAGGACCCCGAAAATATGGGAAAAGATGGGCGATTTTTTTTTGTTTGTGTGTACTCCAGATTTCGTAATAAAGGGAGGGGGGTCTCATTTCGGGGGGGGTCTCTTCCAGGCTATCTTGGAGGGCCTTGGGGGGGTCTGGGGACGATGTTTTGGAGGGTTCTCCCACGGGGGGTGTCTAAAAACTTCTCGTCTGGGAGGGTTGAGACCCCTCCCTTTTATTACGAAATCTGGAGTACCCGTCTCTCATCCCTTCGGATACAACTCCTGGGAGGTCAAATTCTGACTTCGCCCCTGGTCTGAAATTTAGCTCAATCTCGCCTAATCCTGCTGAATCCGGCTTGATCTCGCTTAATACAGTTTATCTGGGGCGGAAATGAGGGGGGGATGACTAAGGGGGGGTGGATATCATGGCGGGGGCCATGATATTTCTCAGATTTCATGGCGCCTCTTCTTTATTTCATTACGTCCCTGGCCCCCCCCCCCGCTGGGCCGCGCACATGCCGCCGGTCATGATTAGCAACCCCCCTTCTTTGACGCCCCCCTCTTGCCGCTCCCGAGGGTTAATCACGCTTAATCCGGGGCCTAATCCGGCGTAGCACCCCCCCAAATGGGGTTAAATTCTTTGTAATCTCTCCGACGAAGACCTCCCAGTAGTTGCCTCCTAACATCCCTTCTCTCTGCTCCCTCATCCTGTTCCTCCCTCCCTCCCACCCCTCCTCCTCCTCCTCCTCCTCCTCCTCCTCCTCCTCCTCCTGATTAGCGCCAGGGCCCCCACGGCGGCGCCTCTGGCGCCGCCCCTGGCGCGCTGCGCGGAGCTTCGACAGTTCATGTTTATGGAGTTCTCCTCCTGGCTTTGACGTGAGGCCTCTCCTTCTGTCCCTCCCTCTTTGTTACTTCAAGCCTCGCGCGGCCCGCTTAGCTTCGACCGGAAGAGGCGCGCTCTCGACCCGCGAATCAAAACATGTTCATGGAGTTATTGATTCCTCGAGCCCCGCTGCCGCGGTCTTCCCGGAGTTTCCGAGGATCACGGTTGGCGTTGGAGAGACGGCGTGCGATGTTGTCAGGAGGGGAAATATAGGAAAATATGGGAAGTGGTGGGGAACACAGAAACCCAGAACATATGGAAAGATATGGGGAATCTTTCTATTCGTGTGTATGTATTTGTGTGTCCTGGGGCCCCTTGATGTCGCTCCGCGGGCCCGCTCCTGGCACGCTCTTGGGGACAGCGTGTGCACCGAAGAAGCCCTGGCCCCGGCGGGGGGGGGGGGATGTCGTGCACAGGCGGGGGCCATCGCGGCCGGCCCGCCTCTCGGAGACAGCGTGCTCTGCGGAGATCGCAGCTGCGGAGGAGGAGGAGGAGGAGGAGGAGGAGGAGGAGGAGGAGGAGGAGGAGGAGGAGGAGGAGGAGGCTATCTTTCCAGCGCCAGCCGTGTGTGCTTTTTAAACCTCTGCGCTTTTTTTGTTCACAGATTTCGAGCTCGCGGGCCCGTTGCTGAGCCTGGGGGCTAGCAAGCATGGATCTGGGGCGAAGGCTTTTTTAGGTGCTCGTGCTTTTTCCCAACCTTTTTAACATAGATTTCGGGCGATGAGGAGGAGGAGGAGGGAGCAGGAGGAGGGAGGAGGGAGGAGGGAGGAGGGAGGAGGGAGGAGGGAGGAGGGAGGAGGGAGGGAGGGAGGAGGGAGGAGGGAGGAGGGAGGGAGGGAGGGAGGGAGGGAGGGAGGGCCCGTTGTTCGGCCTGGGGGTCATCAGCAACCTATCCGGGGCGAACCGCTGCCCCCCGCGGGGAAGCGGTCGGACTTCCCGGGGCCGCGCATTCCAAAAGTCATATGCCGGCGGATGTCTCTGCGCTCTCGGTGCTGCCGGCGTGGCCTGGTCTGTCGGTGTGCCAGTCTTCGGAGCTCTGGGGGGAGGTCGGTGGCCACGTGCGAACCCTACCCCCCCCCACGATCTCTAGGGGAGGGGTTCGCTTCGTTCGGGAGCTCCCGAGCGGAGGGAACTCCCACCCACCCTTAGAAATCGTTGGGGCGGGGTCCCCGGGCCTCGATGTCCCCGATCGAGGAAGGGAAGGGGGCTAAACATCGGGCTGGACGAGAGGCGAGGGGGCTCTGGTGACGGTGCAAGTGCGAAAGCGGCTCCTCCTCCTCTTCCTCCTCCTCCTTCTTGCCCTCCCTCCCTCCCTCCCTCTGGGCCGGCGGAGGGTCTCCTGTTCTTGGAGGACGTTCTTCTATCCTAGGTCCGGCCGTATCTAATCTTAAGTCGGGCATGTCCCTCTGGCGGAGGAGTACTCAAACATAGACAAACAACAGTCAGGATACATTTTTTTTGGGGGGGGGGGACTATTTTCGAGTATTTTTTTGAGTATTTCTCCTTGCCTCCCAACATCCGCCTGTAGGGGGACCTTGCCCGACCTGACACTGCTCTCCTAGCGCCCCCCCCGCCGCCCGCACGGCGCCGAGGCCCTGGACCCGGCCCAGAGGCGCGCGCCGCGCCCCGCGCCCCAGCGCAGACGGCCGCTAGCCGTCGGTGCGGCCGCTCGCCCGCTCGAGCGATCGCTCGGCCTCCCCGGTCGGCCGCTCGACGGGCTGCTCGATCTCTCGCGACCCTGCCGGGGGCTCCCGGCAGGAGGAGGAGGAGGAGGAGGAGGAGGAGGAGGAGGAGGAGGAGGAGGAGGAGGAGAGAGGAGGAGGAGGAGGAGGAAGGAGAGGAGGAGGAGGAGGAGGGGGAGGAGGGAGGAGGAAGGGAGGAGAGGGGAGGACGAGGAGGAGAGAGGAGGAGGAGGAGGAGGAGGAGGCGGAGGAGGAGGAGGAGGAGGAGGAGGAGGAGGAGGAGGAGGAGGAAGGAGGAGGGAGAGGAGGAGGGAGGAGGAGGAGGAGGAGGAGGAGGAGGACGAGCAGGCGGGAGGAGGAGGAGGAGGAGGAGGAGGAGGAGGAGGAGGAGGAGGAGGAGGAGGAAGGGGCGGAGGAGGAGGAGGGAGGAGGAGGAGGAGGAGGAGGGGGAGGAGGGAGGAGGAGGAGGAGGGGGAGGATGAGGAGGAGGAGGAGGAGGGGAGGAGGAGGCGGAGGAGGAGGAGGAGGATGAGGGGAGGAGCAGGAGGAGGAGGAGGAGGCGAGGAGGAGGAGGAGAGGAGGAGGAGGATGATGAGGAGGAGGAGCAGGCGGAGGAGGAGGCGGAGGAGGAGGAGTAGGAGGAGGAGGAGGAGGAGGAGGAGGAGGAGGAGGAGGAGGAGGGAGGAGGAGGAGGAGGAGGGAGGAGGAGGGAGGGAGGAGGAGGGGTGGAGGAGGATGAGGAGGAGGAGGAGGAGGGGAGGAGGAGGCGGAGGAGGAGGAGGATGATGAGGAGGAGCAGGAGGAGGAGGAGGGAGGCGGGAGGAGGAGGAGGAGGAGGAGGAGGAGGAGGAGGAGGAGGGAGGAGGAGGAGGAGGAGGAGTGAGTCGGTGTGGTTTCGGGGTCACCGCGCGGTCTTGGGGCTCGGGTCGTGCTCCGAGGGCGTCTCGGGCGACCGGGGCCTCCGGGGCCCCAGGGCCGTGCGGTGACGGGCCGTTCGGTGAGGTCTCGGGGGACCTCGAGGTCACCGCACGGTCCTTCACCGCACCGTCTCGGGACTCCCTTAGGGCGAGCAGTGGCGAGGCGTCCTGGCTTGCCCATGGGTCCACCAGACGATGTCCCGAGGACCTTTTGCGGTCCGCACGGAGTGTGTTCTTGGAGCATCTCTGGCTGAGACCCTTTTTGTTTTGACACACCGGGTCTATGTTCTGAGAACATTGTTTCTGTTCTCAGAGCTTGGGTTCTACGAACATATCGTGGTAGGGCTTGGACGGTCGATCCCAGCGCTTGGCCCCCCGGCGCCGCCTCCGGCGCCGCCCCCGGCGCGCTCCGCGCGCCAGGGAGGGGGTCCGGCGCAGATCCAAGAGTTCCGCTCGGATCGCCAAAAATTGATGCTCAAGGCGTTTTTGCTTGTTTGTTTTGTTTATGGGCTTGCTTTTGTAGCAGTACAAAGAGTGTAATTACCGATGCGCAGGAGGAAGTGGTGATTACATACCGCTGCCGCTGCTCTTCCTGGAGGGCCGTCGTCGCGCCATGGCTGGGTTCTCCCCGCGAGCCTGTTCAGAACGCGGGAGTGTTCGGACGCTAGGGCCGATCCTGGGCCCGTGGTCGGAGGGCACCAGCCTGTACACTAGGGGTCGATCCTCGGCCCAGGATCGGTGTGTTGTGTGTGTGTGTGTGTGACTGTGTGTGTGTGTGTGTGTGTGTGCGTGCGTGCGTGCGTGCGTGCGTGCGTGCGTGCGTGCGTGCGTGCGTGCGTGCGTGCCTGTGTGTGTGTGTGTGTGTGTGTGTGTGTGCGTGCGTGCGTGCGTGCGTGCGTGCGTGCGTGCGTGCGTGCGTGCGTATGTGTGTGTGTGTGTGTGTGTGTGTGTGTGTGTGTGTGCGTGCGTGTGTGCTTCCCTGCCCAAGCCAGGCGGGCGTGCACACCGCTCTTGGGCCGAGAACAGCTCGGCGCCCTCCCGAGGGGCGTGTCCGATCGAGACGTCGGGGCGACGGCCCGCCTCCCACCCGCGAGATCCGAGCGCCCCGCCCCCGCCCCCCGTCGGCTCGGGAGCATCGAGGGCACCCCCCTGTGGTTCTCTTCGTGCTGAAGGGGGAGGAGGTGGTGGAGGACGCCGAGTTGGATGTTCTGGTGCATCCTCGGGGGAGGGTGCCCTCGGAGGCTCCGTGGTTTTGGCGGCGGAGGCTTCCCTGCGCCTCGGGCACGTCCTTCTGCCCCAGGTCCGACCGTCGTTATGCGCAAGGGCTGCCTTCGCCAGGGTGACCCGTGGTGCGGGCCCACAGGCCTCCCGCCAGCAGTGGCTGGCGCGCTCGCGCTGCGCTGGTCCGGCCTCCCCCTGCGGCCCACCCCGAGCCGCGCACCGAGGGCCACTCCTGCCTGGGGCCCAGGGCCACTCCTGTGCTTGGCATCGCTCGGACGTGTGCATTTTTCTTTCGGCGAGGACTATCGAGGAGCATCCTTCATCAGTTCGCAAAAAAAATCACGCACGAAACCGAACAAAACACAGGAAATGGACGTCCGAGCGATGGCCAGTGCGTGCAGCCGAGAAGCGGGCACGTGGAGAAAGACGGCAGGCGAGGGAAGCTGCGCACGGCCGCCCGCGCGGCCCCCCCGAGCGGCCTCGGGCGGGCCCGCCTGGGAGGCCAGGCCTCCGCTGGGGAGGCCTCTCCGCGAGCGGGGCGCCCCGCGAGGCGCAGCCGGAGTCAGCTGTCCGACCTGACCTGCGTGTCCCCGGCCCTCGGCTTCGGCGACGGCGCGCTCCGCGGGGGCCGTCGGCGTCGTCGGCGTCGTCGTCGTCGTCGTCGTCGTCGTCATCGTCGATGTTGTCAAGGTCGTCAAGGTCGGCGTCGCCGTCCAGGTCGCCGCCGCCGCCGAGCGGGCTCGGGAGGTCCTAGGCGCTGCTCCAGGGAGGGCGGTCCTTGGGCTGCGGCGGCGGCGCGCTCCCCATGGGGGCTACGGGGCAGAAGCTCGTTCGGGGCTTCCCCGTAAGGCTTTTAGTTTTGGTCTCCTCCTCCTCTGCTCCTTCCCCTCGCCTTGGGACGGACACGCTGAAGCATAAGTACTGCTGCGATAACTAGTATTAGTTTTACATCCGTTGTTTGCTATTGTAACGGTTACTGATATTTTCACCGTGACTCTTATTGATACTGTTACTGTTACTGGTATTTTTGAATCTTATAATTGCGCTTACTATTCCTATTCCTATTACTGGTGCGATTGCTGGTACGGTTACTGTTAATCGTAATATTGTTGTTATGTTCATTGTTATTCCTATTTCCATGATTACCGGTTATTTGCATCATTTCTCACTGCCTTAATTGGCACGATTACTTTATTCCCCACATCCAAAGTGGGGTTCTTGTTTTCTCTGGACACCCCGCGCAGGAACAGGAACACACACACACCCACTCACACTCACTCACACTCTCTCATCATCAACCTCATCAGCATCATCGATGATGCTCTCTCACATGCTTAGTCACTCACATACTCATCATCATCATCACTCGCACTCTCTCACACGCTCACGAACATCATCATCATCATCGGCATCGGCATCATCCTCATTCAAACATCATCATCGCCACCACCACTCACAATCAATCATCATCCTCTTCACCACTCATCTTCACCACCACTCATCATCCTCATCCTCATCATCGTTGAGTAAATTGTGAGGAAGTCTCAGGCGGGAGCCCCCTCCCTATGGGGCCCGCAGATCATGTTGGTAATCCGAGCGGGTCATCGGAATCCTGTAACTGTCGTCACTTTTGAGCTCCCCAGGCCTGAAAATGGAGGAAGTCTCAGGCGGGAGCCTCGTCTGTGAGTGAATTGGGAGGAAGTCTCAGGCGGGAGCCCCCTCCCTATGGGGCCCGCAGATCATGTTGGTAATCCGAGCGGGTCATCGGAACCCTGTAACTGTCGTCACTTTTGGGCTCCTCAAGCCTGAATTTGGAGGAAGTCTCAGGCGGGAGCCTCGTCTGTGAGTGAATTGCGAGGAAGTCTCAGGCGGGAACCCCCTCCCTATGGGGCCCGCAGATCATGTTGGTAATCCGAGCGGGTCATCGGAACCTTGTAACCGTCGTCACTTTTGGGCTCGTCAAGCCTGAATTTGGAGGAAGTCTCAGGCGGGAGCCTCGTCTCTGAGTGAATTGTGAGGAAGTCTCAGGCGGGAGCCCCCTCCCTATGGGGCCCGCAGATCATGTTGGTAATCCGAACGGGTCATCGGAATCCTGTAACTGTCGTCAATTTTGGGCTCCTCAAGCCTGAATTTGGAGGAAGTCCCAGGCGGGAGCCTCGTCTGTGAGTGAACTGCGAGGAAGTCTCAGGCGGGAGCCCCCTCCCTATGGGGCCCGCAGATCATGTTGGTAATCCGAGCGGGTCATCCAAAACCTGTAACTGTCGTCAAGTTTGGGTTCTCGCGCTGCCAGAACGCAGTTCCCAGGCCACATTTTGGACGCAACAGGGAAGTTTTTCCCCACATCCAAAGTGGGGTTCTTGTTTTCTCTGGACACCCCGCGCAGGAACAGGAACACACACACACCCACTCACACTCACTCACACTCTCTCATCATCAACCTCATCAGCATCATCGATGCTGCTCTCTCACATGCTTAGTCACTCACATACTCATCATCATCATCATCACTCGCACTCCCTCACACGCTCATGAACATCATCATCATCATCATCGGCATCGGCATCATCCTCATTCAAACATCATCATCGCCACCACCACTCACAATCAATCATCATCCTCTTCACCACTCATCTTCACCACCACTCATCATCCTCATCCTCATCATCGTTGAGTAAATTTTGAGGAAGTCTCAGGCGGGAGCCCCCTCCCTATGGGGCCCGCAGATCATGTTGGTAATCCGAGCGGGTCATCGGAACCCTGTAACTGTCGTTTTGATTTTTTGAGCTCCGATTGCCAACATGAGGAGTCTCAGGCGGGCGCGAGCCTCGGCTGTGAGTGAATGTGAGGACAGTCTCTGGGGGGAGTCCCTCCCTATGGGGCCGCAGATATGGTTTGTTGGTAAATCCGAGCGGGTCATTGGAAACGTGTAACTGTCGTCACTTTTGGGCTCTTGAGGCCTGAATATGGAGGAAGTCTCGAGCGGGAGCCTCGTCTGTGAGTGAATTGCGAGGAAGTCTCAGGCGGGAGCCCCCTCCCTATGGGGCCCGCATTTCATGTTGGTAATCCGAGCGGGTCATCCGAAACGTGTAACTGTCGTCACTTTTGGGCTCCTGAGGCCTGAATATGGATGAAGTATCAGGCTGCGAGCCTCGTCTTGAGTTGAATGGCGAGGACGTCTCAGGCAGGGAGCTCACTCCCTTATGTAATAGGGGCCCGCAGATCATGTTGGTAATCCGGGGCGGGGTCGTCGGATCCTGTCCATGTTTCACTTTGGGCTCTCAAGCCTGAATTTTGGAGGACGTCTCAGGCGGGAGCTCGTCTGTGAGGAATTCTGAGGAGTCTCAGGCGGGAGCACCACTCCATAGGGGCCCGCAGTCTGTTGGTAATCGGCGGGTCATCGGACTTGGTACTGAAATCCGAGATGTGGCTCGTCAAGCCTGAATTTGGAGGACGTCTCAGGCGGGAGCCTCGTCTCTGAGTGAATTGTGAGGAAGTCTCAGGCGGGAGCTCCCCCCTTATGGGGCCCGCAGATCATGTTGGTAATCCGAGCGGGTCATCGGAATCCTGTAACTGTCGTCACTTTTGGGCTCCTCAAGCCTGAATTTGGAGGAAGTCTCAGGCGGTTTTGTCCAGGGCGGAGGCGAAGCAGCTCGCGGCAGAGCTGGGCTTCGTGCTGCCTTCCGCCTGAGCGCGGCTGCGCCTCGCTCGAAGCCCGCGGGGTTGTCCCAACGGCTTGGTCTTGCGCGCCAACGGCTCGTGGGTTGTCCCGACAGCCTGGCCCGCGGGGTTGTCCCAACGGCTGCGCGACGTGACCAGTAGAGAACGCGCCTGTGCTGGCCGTGGCGGCGACGGCGCCGAGGGACATCGACATGCGCGCTCATGCAACAGGAAGGGGAGGAGGTGGCGGGGCGCGGAACAAACAGGGGGGCGAGGATGGGGACAACGTAAGGAGTGGAAGGGGGGCCCGCGCCAAGGCGACAGGACATATACGCAGAAGAGACAGCCAGGACGCCTCACCAACCACGAGGACGACGGTGATGGTTTTTTTCCAGATTCGCCCAGCGGATTCTTATGTGGGGTTCTTCCGTCGGAGTAACTTTATTATGCATATTCAAACAA